GATACAAAAAATGTGGAAAAAAATTGTCATTTAATTCTTAAACTTTGTAATTTGAATAAATTTATTAAAATGAGAATCATCAGTAGAATGTATCAACATGTACGAGCTCTAATATGGTAAAGTTATAGCGTTGAGATGATAACTAGTTAAGCATCTGTAGTAATGTAGTAGTAGAAATAGTTAAACACAATTACGATTCTAAACATCAATAGCAGGATTAAAATCTACAGTTTGTTTGGTGCTACCCATTTGTATGTGCCTGTAAATACGTAACCGCGGGCCTGCATCATTTCATCGGCTTCTTTTGGACCACGGCTAAAACATGAACTTTCATTAAAATCGAAGATAGACGCTTTGTAGAAAAATGCTTCCTTCCTGCTGTCGTTGAACAGCTTCAATGTAAATAACATTTCAGATTGAAGATTCCATAATACCAACCTCCCAAATTTATATTTGATAGGTTGAACGCGTTGTTCCTCTATTTCCTTCAGAGCTGGTGTGAAAACTCTCCAGGCGTATTCAAGTTCATCAGTTCGCACAAAATCTATTTGCGATCCCATGAAAACCTCGAGAATTAGGCGTTCGTATGCATCAGGTAGACGTATGTTCTAGAAAAATGAGGTAAGCAGTTGCAAAAAACACTAACCGCAATCACTAACCTTATAACGCGCATTATAAGTGAGATCAAGTTCGGATTCCTCAACATCAAATCCCATGCCAGGCTTTTTCGTCATCAATTTGAGGTACACTGCTTCATTTGGCTGAACTCGCATGACAAGTTCGCTTCTGTAAAATTGCTGAGTTCCAGGAATTATACACAGGGCGATATACGAAAACGAAAACCTCTTTAGAACACCAGGAGGATAAATGTCACCATTCACTTCTTTAAACTGTATACGAACTTCTGTCTTGGTTTCGTTTAGACCTGTAAATGAATTGGGTTATCTGAGATATGAATTATTTAAGATGACGCTAGCTTCAATGTTAAAACCTTTTCCACATCGCATAAAGAACGGCACTCCTTCCCACCGTTCATTTTGTATGTGAAGAACAGCTAACGCATAAGTTGGAGTTATTGAATCATCTGGGACATCTTTATCATCTTTGTATCCCGTAGAAGCCTCTGGATCTGTAAAAAGCTTTGAGAAGAAAATACTAACTACATTCAAACTAAGAATGGATATTCATAATATAAGAAGCAGCGGATAGAGTGTTTTTGAAAACATCAGCCAAACCAGCAGACAGCCGAGTTTAGATCTCCTTTTTATGAGCACAATATCTTTTTTTTTAATGATTGGGATGAAAGAGAAAAGTCTGCAACATCAGAATGCTGAATAGTAGGCAAGTAAACCTTATTTTCAGTATGAAGTTCAATTCTGTTAAAAGTAAGCATGCTATTGTCTCCATTGATTAGATTCCTAACGATAAGATTCATTTCACATCTGATGATAAAAACGTTTATTGTCCTAATGAAAGTCTGCAATCTACAGATGTATAGTATTAACTATGATCTACGATGTTCAAAAAAACTCACAGGAAAACTCTGGCCATTTTTGTGGCGCTTTTTGCCTCAGTAAAATTAGGGGGATCATCTTCTCTGGTCCAAAAAAAAAA